ATCCTAATATCCTCAACGACAAATTAACAAACCGTATCTCAACATGTATCTCCGATACGTGACCCTTTTTATGCTTAGCCTTGTGACGGGCATACAGGCACAGAAACAAGGTTGCAATAAGGGCACCTGGGGAGGTAGAGTTCCTGCTTCTACTTCCTACATCTCTTCTAACGATATACAGAAAAGTGTGTGGACGATTTTGATTGCTGTAGCGCTATATGCGATCGAGGGATATGCACCCAGTCTTCTGGCGTATGCATCTGCTAGGTACAATCTCATACAATTACGTAGGAGATGGCTCAGCTAACAGCGCTAGAGTAGATCACTAAGGAAATTCACTGAGGTTACGTAGTGTGCTGATGCACAGGGTTACCAGTAGCTCTGGGCTAAAGTCTGGTCTCCTGTTCTTGACCTAATATAAATGGAGAACCTGATAGATGTCCCTGGCTTTTCTATGCATGGCAGATAGTAACGATAACATACCTCTCTTCTATTCCCTGTAAAATTGCTTTGTGATGTTAGGGGGTTATTCTTTGGATAATTATCTATATTCGAATTGTTCTTGCCCTATGTTCATATGCACCCAATAAACAGCAGAAAGTCTAGTGTTGTCAGCCTCGCGGAAACCATTAGAATTCTTGGATGTTCATACCAAGATGCCGCGAGTCTAATTTAGTTACTTTACCGGTTGCGACGCCATTGCGCGACCTTGCGACTTACGCTGCGCACCTGAGCGTCCCCAGACTCGTCGCCCGCCTGTCCGTCCGCCCGGCGCCCGGCACATATACGCCTCCAAGGCTACCACCGCACGACCCCGCAGCCATGGGCTTCTTCATCTCGCGGACATGGCGGCTGCCAAAGATCGTCTGGTTCCTCATCATCTTTGAGCTGCCCTTCACCGTCGCCAACCTTGCGCTCTTCGGCATTGCCTCACCAAAACTGTATCGCACTATTTTGTGGAGAGTGGGTGGAGAGAAAGGCTTCAATTCGGAACCCTCAACTGTTCTGTACTCGTATGCCAACTACCGCCC